AACATGACCTTTTGGGGAGTTAATGGTACCAGGGAGTATGGCAGTAGTCATCTTTATTTTCACCTGCTTAGCTGTTGGTGTCAGGCCAAAAAGCCTATAAAACAGGAGGGCTGGCTTTGTTTTGAAAGGAGTAGAAATCCCAAGAAACTGAAAATGACATCAGGCATTTGAGATTGAAACTAAAGAGATTCATTACCTTGTCACAGGTAAGTTTAACCCACAGATCTCTGCCCTTTGCTCTGTTATCAACCAGAGCCTCCTTTCTGTCACGCATTGCATTACTTGCTGTTATCACTATTATTTACTATTCATGGAGAGTTGATGGTATATTCCAAAAGTACAGATGGGCAGGAGAGTGTACACACCCTCTTTTTTAATAGATGGAGTCTGGTAAGAAGCCTGCCTAACAGTATTTCCATGTACAGTTTTCCTATCTATTTCTCAGAGTCTCAACTGACATCAGCCCTTAAACTTCAAAAACTCTGTGTCATTACCTCATTGATGACACATACAGCTTGCTTTCCTTCTGTATTTCTCCTCAGCCTCAGCAAGGAAGACAGATTAGTCTCACCCCTGGTGAGATTTTAACAATAACAAGAGTCTGTACACCAGCAGGGTACCCATAATGACAGAAGCAGTCCTTCCAAAACCAACTAAAATGACCATATCTTCAGCCCAGTTCCCAGCAACTTCCTGGACTGGTGCTCTGGGGGCCAATTGACAGCTGGATTTGTGTTTCAATTAAGTGGAAATGAAACAGGGTGATGCTGAAGTAACTGCAAACAGAACGATTTGGGTGTCAGCGGCTCTTGTGGCCAGTGCAAACCCCAGAAGCTGTGTCCCCTCTTGGCAAGCACAGTGTTACTACACAGGTGTGTGACACCACAGAGTGTTTCATAGGTGTGTGTACCAAGGTGAATTTATGCTGATACTTTTGGTCTGTGTTTGGCCCTGCCACCTGTGAAAGCTTTGCTCTTTCCCTGCCAAGTTATGGGAAAACAAGCACTGATAAAGGGGAAAGTTGTCCTTGAAGAGAGCTTCTTGTATAAACTGTTTTAATTGGTATTCTGTGATTGGCCAGTTGTCCGCCAAGGGCATTTGAAGGAGATTCTGATGAGAAAGGGAGGAAGGCTCGCCCCCAGACTCAATTAAGAAAGACCCCCAAAACATACTGCACGTGCGTGAGGGGATTTCCGAAGTTCTCACGCATGCGCAGAAGAGCTGCACTTACATAACCGGGAGGTGGGACTGAGGGCCTCTGGCTGGGCGGTGCTGGCCACACCTGGGAGGTTGTGGTCACTCAGTTAATTGTATAAAAGTAGATAGTGCTTTCTTGGAGAGAAGTTAACTTCACATCAAGGACAACGTTGCCTTTGGCGGGGACACCTGCCAGTTTGTGAACTTACTGACTCTCCAAGGATGCTGCTTCTGCTATGGGTAATTATAGGCACGCTAGGTCGGTAAGATAACTTTATGGGCAACAGCTGGGTAACTGGGGCTTATTTCTCTCCTCCTTCCTCCCTTTTGGGTTTGTTTGTTTTGTCGGCCACCCTCTTGGTAATAAATCTTGGGTTTTGTTAAGCTTTCAACGGTGTCGTGGTTTCAAGCTTCAGTATATCTTCGAACCTCCTCCCTAATACAGTGTGTCATACGGTGGTGCTGCTCAGACCATGTGGAATCTGAGCCCATATTGGCAATAACAGACACCTATTGCTATGCCCATGTATTGAGTCACGTGTGTGTGTGTGTGTAGGTATGTCTTCAAACACAAGGTGAATTCCGATATGTTGATGACAAAATGCAGGTATGCTACCCCAAAAAATTTCATTTTTTCCCCCCGATTTCATTTTTCTTACTGTACTATGGTGAATGAGTGTTTGTTTTAAGGTCGCTTTAAAAATCACGAAAAAGGTATCAGCAAAAGCAGGTTTAATATAAAAGTGAGAGCAAGACAAAGTTTGTCGGCAAGGTTCCCTCTGCTACTTATTAGATGGTTAAAGCACAAAGAGAAAGGGCAAACTAAAACCTAAAATCAATCAATCTAAACCCAAAATCAATCAAAAAATGTGGAGGCGGAGGGGGTGGGGGGAAGGATAGGAAAGGGTAAGGACAGAAAGGAATAAGGAAGACCCTCCTGTTGAGTCACAAGGTTCAGACCTCTTTGCTAAACTGTGCCCCAGACTTGACCAGCAGTTCAGGCCTAAAGGTCACTTAATACCACTTAAGTGATAGCTTAAGTTAAACAATTTAACCAAAGATTCATATAGAATTTACTGTAGCACAACAGTAATTCACTTGCAGGCCTAGCTTACGAATCTAAAGTACCAGCAAGAGAGTGGGCTTTAGCCATAATAATTTTCCATCCTGGCTGCAATTTGGGTCAGTAACTTTCTTTGAAAAGATTCTATTCTGCTTGGGTTGTTACTCAGGCAAGAGAAATAAGTTTCCAAGGCTGTTCCTTAAAAAGCAGGAGCTTGTTAGACAGCACTAATCCCTGGGAGCAGGCGGTGTTTCTGATAATCCCAAGAGGAGCTTAGCCCAGGTGCTGTTCATCACAGACAGGCTTAATGAGCATTTCTCAGATACATGGAGGCCCGAGGAGGAGCAGGGAGGATGCACACCCCATGTACATATATACATATGTACACCGTTGTTGTGTTGGTGAATTAAAATGAATCTAAATCCAAATCTTGATCAGAGACAGTCTTTGAGTCCTTTAATGCAATTTTCTCATCACTGTAGTGGGTTGGCTTTTGGATTTTTTAGGCTTTCCTTAGCAATGGGGGTCAGAAATCTGAGGAAGTATTCCATATCATCCTTTAGCGTAATACAACATATAAATAAGGTGCAGACAAGAGAGCTCGCTCTCTTCTCTCTTCCGGTGGCTGAAGACGACAGGTCTCTCTGCAGATGGTCTTTGCTTGTATGGGCCAAGGTCTGTTTGCTTAGATCTGCCGTTATCTCTGGTCCCTCCAGGAGGTGTGGGGAGTTGTTTGGTGCTTCGCACAGTTCTGCTGTCTCGTTCAGGGAAGTATTTAATTAGTTTTTTTTATTTATTCGCTAGCTCTCTATTAACGGTGTATATTTGTAGGATATTTGTTTTAGGGTTTTTTTATCCCTGTTTCCCCCCTCCCTTTTCCCTTTATTCCCCTCGGGAGCTCCCTATTGTATGTACAATATATTCAAATTGTACATATAATTGTAAATATATATTTTTGATATAATCCCGTTTCGTTCGGGCTTCTTTTGGTTTTTCTGTGCTTTGTTTTTTTTCCTCACTTGAAAGAGCGGGAGGGGACAGCTTGGACTTGTCAAGAAATCCAGGCCAAACTGATACAATCACAAGCCCCCAGGATAATACCACTTAGTAGCAGATAGCCTTACTCGAGTAACCACTTAAACCGACAAGAATCTTTTCATTGCTTTAGGTCTGATTCCCAGTTCCCACACGTTTCTTCAACTCAGCTGAAGAACAGATTCTGAACTTTGTTTATCCATGGCTTTGCATTTATTAATCCTATAACAAGCAATTACAGAATTTGGTACTCTGTTGTCAAAACCATCAAAACTGCATTAATGCATTGTACACAGCATCATATATTGGCTTTGCCCTTTTTCTTGATTTTGATACAATTTGGTGTCAATCTCATGGTTTGGAGGTATATGTAATTCTCCAGGTGTTCTGCCTTGGATTTTCAGGCACCAGAGACAATGAGCATCTCTTAGCCTCCCAAGGCTTTTCCAAGGACAACCCTGAACGTGCTGAGGAGCAGCTAATCCCAGGGAGGAGGGAAATACTCCCAGTTCTCCTCTCCTGAATCCACAGCACTAGCCTGCAAGGCTACCTGCTGGGCTTGGGAGCAATGCTGGTGAGTATTTTGTCTTCTCATGCCATTTCACAGGAAAAACAGTTCTACGTGTTCATAAATGCTCAGCTACCCAGGAGGAATGAAACCAATAGAGTTTTGGTGACTGATTCAGTGACACATCATAGACAACAGAAGGCTGAAGTGGAGCTGCTACTGCATGGGCAGCAAAGGATTATCCAGCCACCCCACCTTCGAGTCAGCTGTGTGGAAAAACAAACCCTGAAAGACCCACTTAAGTTCCAAACTTGTCTCTTTTGCCCAGATCACCCTTGATGGGCATTGGTGAGTAAGCACCAGCCAGTGACAGCACAGACATGCTGGATGTCAGCTCCCAGTGTAAGGGAGAAATCCAGGAGTCTGGAACACCTTCCAGCTTCCTTTGGGTGATTCAGGGAGTTGTGGAGATGGACAGCAGGAGGATGTCACAGATCCAAATCCAAACTGCCAGCAGACACTGGAAACCCCAGGCTGTCTTTTTTTGACTTCTGCCTAAGGGTTTACTTATGTGTCTGATAAAATCCAGCTGTTTTGGTCTGAATGATGGGATACCCGGGATCCTGCTTGGTGGATACCTTCTCATGGATGATTTCCCACCCCAAAGATGGTTTTTTTGCTTTTCATGCAATCCACTTATCATGTGCAGGCTGCACTTTCAGACCTTTCTGCAAACGGGTCACAGGGCTTCAGGATGGTCTTTATCCCCTTCTCCAGTCCATGCCCACTTCTCCACCTCATTCCTGTGCTTCCACCTTACTGCGTTGTGTGCATCACCAGGGATGGCAACGAGGATGTTTGCCCCACAGCTGCCCTATCTTGTGGCACGGACGCCCTTCTGCAGCCACATCCTGTTCTTTCTCACGGGTTTTACACGGAGAGCGCTCGGCAGGGGGAAGGCCGGGAACGGTGCTGGCACAGGACTCTCCAGTCCTGGCACAGAATTCCCCACATTGCCGAAGGGTCCTCCACACCGCCAGAGGGCGCCCTCGCCCGCCCTCACTCCGGACCGTGCGCCCCGCCCAGAGACGGGCAAGCGGAGTGTCGCTACTGGCCCAGCGCCGCCGGCCCCGCCCCCTGGGGGTCACGCGCTCGGCCTCAGCGCTGCCGGAAGTGCCAGTCTGGGCGGTGGGTCCGGGTCCGGTGCCGGCCCCCAGCACGGCCCCCGCCCGGTTCCCTCTCGGTCCCTCTCTGGCCCCCTCAGCCACCCCCCAGCCATGCACCCGCGGCGCCCCGACGGCTTCGACGGCCTGGGCTACCGCGGGGGCGGCCGCGAGGAGCCGGGCCCGGGCGCCAGGCCCTTCGGCGGGTCGGAGCTGGGCCACTGGGTGACCACCCCGCCCGACATCCCCGGCAGCCGCAACCTGCACTGGGGCGAGAAGACGCCGCCGTACGGGGCCGGGACGCCCCTGGGCGGCGCTGGCCCCAACGAGGAGCCCAACCTCGGGGCGGGCGGCCCCGGCGCCGGTAAGGGGGGGCCCGCCGGACTGAGCTCCGGTCCCCCGTGAGCCGGGTGAGGGCGGGCGGGCGGCGGCCCCGGGCTGTGCGCTCCTATGTGCTGGCGGTGCACAAGGGAACAAAAAGTCACTTAGAAGAAGGAGAACTGCTCCATGATCGGTTGTTGCGCCCCAGCACCACGTAGTTCCCGTGCCACTGGTGGTTTTTGGGAGTGGCAGGACGCGCCACCCCCGCAGCTCCCGGTTGAGCCCATGTAAACAACATCCTGCAGAAATACTCTGCCTTCTGTGAAGGCAGGAAGTGCCTCCTGGCCTCGAGTGTTTCTTTTAGGCAGTGTTGGTGTTTCCGGCTGTGTTCGTGCAGCTTGTTAGGCTGAGAACGAGCTGATGACATAAACCACCCTCCACCCTTGATAGCGAAGGATCTGTGGGACTGGCAGGATTTAAGGAAGCAACTGCGTTCAAGTCTTTTCCAGCAGAAACCCTCAGAACTGAAGTATCGTTTTAGGTCTTAGTGGAATGGAGATGAATTAAGAAAAAGTGTAGCAATGCTACTGGACGTTGTCCCCTTTAATTAAAAGGATACTTGAGTATCTAAGTTTCATGAAATACTAATTTATCTGAAATTGAGTTACATTAGTAGGCAAGTGGGGTTTTTTTAACCTGTAGTGCATTTTATTCGGTCTTACAATGAGTACAACCCTTAGCTGGACTTTTCCTCCATGCAAGCACTGGTTAAAGCACTGTTTTAAGTATTCTGATGTACTTGGATACTGCCTTTTTTTTCCTCCTATCTCCTTATGAAGAGTATGTTCATTCTGCATTTTGGGGGACTGATAAGGAGTGGCTGTAATCACTGAATGCAGCTGCTGCAGATGGAGAGTCTTACCATTGCTCTTGGGAGGGCTGCCACATCTGTGTGGAGCTCCACACAGTTACTGGCTTTATCCGTGCTTTCAGACTGCTTGCACCCTGAAAATTGTAGGGCTGAACATCAATTTTCAGTTGCCTTTACAGTTCTTACGCTCTTTTTAAAATCTCTTGTAACTCCCAATGTGCAAATGTCTGCCTGGTAGCAGACAACAGAGTTGAACTAATGAGTTCAATGAGCTCTTGTTGCAGTTTTGACAGTTCTCCGGTAACTAGATTTTTGCAAAGGACAAAATTATTTGTGGAGATAAACAACTGGCTTGAAAATTTGCTTTGTGTTGATGTTTGTTACTTCATCTGTGGCTTTTTTGTGTTACTTTTCTCAAATTGGCTCCTTTTTACTCTTTTGTTTTTAGCATTATTTTCACCTCAGATATCTAAATTTATGTCTCAGAATTACTGTAAACTACCACGTATGTTAACTTTTTCAGTAGGTGGTTTGAATTAGAATTTTTTTTAGTGCTCACTTTCTCTTTTTTCCCTGTGAGACAAACATAATTTTATGTATAAAAGCATGTACAAACTCAAATGCAGTCCAAAGTGAAGTATCCCTGGGGAAATAATTTTTTTATATTCTCTGTTGCTGAGCTGCCGTAAATGTTGTGGTTTAGTGCTTGTAATTTTCTGAAGCAAGTACAGAATGAAATTAGTTTTTCAGGTCCTGTGCAGGGCATTTTCTCCTGTTATATGATTAGCACAGCTGTTTTTTTTAATTTTTTTTTTTTCCAGAACAGTTGAACAGATTTGCAGGCTTTGGAATTGGCCTTGCAAGGTAAGAGTTGTATTCACTGACAGTGAAGTACTAAAACTCTTATTTGTCTTACAAACCCTACATGTACTTTTGTGTTGTGTTTTTGTGCCAATAGACTTCAGCAGCTGAAGTACCTGTAGAAACCTATTACTGAGAATCCATTTAGTTTTCTGTTCTCTTTAACTGTTGCTCAAAAATACTAAATACTCAATGAATGCAAGAAACAGTTTTTCATAAGTTGTGCCCAGGACATGAGTACCCTGTCTGAGCAATCTGAAAGTAACATCAGAGAACTTTTTTCACATCTGCCACTTTAATTACTACTTTTAGGTAATGCAAATATTTTCTAACAAGGTGAAAATGTCTTCAAGTATGTTATCAAAATATCATGGGATCATCATGTTCATCTAGCCAAGTGGTCTGATAACCATTTTATTGCTTATTATGGTGACACTGATCATTGATAATGTTTTTGAGAAAATGGTAGACTTTAAGATATTTAACATTTTCAGAGGTTTAATTGTCAGGCGTAAGGATGATGGTAAGCTGAGGGTTTTTTGTAGGAGGCCTGCTGAGTCATACTCACCTGATTAGGTTTTCCTTGGTCAAAGTACTAATGCAGTTTGTGAAAGGGTGGGAGTTGTTTTTTTTTTTATCTTGGAAAAGTTAGAATTAAAAAAAGGTTTAACTCCTTGTTGACTTGAATGTGATACTTCTCAGAGAAAAGTGCTTCTCTCTTCAGAGTATGAGAATACTTCTGCCAGTTACTCAGTTCTGGACCAATATGCGAAGCTATGTCAGTTCAGGTTCATATAGTGTAGTTTTACTTGAAGAGGAGGACCTTTTTTTTTCTCTTGACCACCAGCCTGTCCTGCTCCTGTCCCTTAGTTATGACCCTTGATGCCGATCAGAACCTCTTTAACCTGTTTGACTCACTAAAACAGAGTCAGTGAAAGAGCTGGATTATTTTTTCCTATTTCAGTTAGGTTGATATACCTGGGAGTTGACTAGCTATGTCAACCAGCAGACACCAGTTGATGGGACCAGAGAGGGAAGGAATAAAGAGGGAGGACTAGGAATGACCATTTTTGGCAACTAATGAGTTGCTTAAATTGGATCATCCCCTTCCATGAAACTGCTTATCCCTCTTCTCCCACTGCTTTCCTTGCAGTGTCTCAGCTTGCACATTCAAGCTTGCCCCTTGATAAGCTTTTCATTTGTTAAAATAGAGATGATGGAGTGGAAGAGGAAGAACTAATCCCTCCAAACGTGTAAAGAGGAGTTTGATTTCTTTCCACCCTTATGTAGCAGGAGACCTCAGGATGCTACCAGCACAGGAATGGAGCCATAGGGCAGGAACATGATCTCATTCAGGAGCAGAGATATGTTGTGAACTGTAGGTTTTGATTTAATTAAGCATGACAGTTTTCCACATTTTGAGCACCATGCCCACTAGGACTAAAATGAACATGTAGTTTTTGTGAGGTTAGTTGAGTTGGCTACAGGGAAGGCTGAGTAGATACCAGCTGAAGTACAGGGAAGGTTTCACCTCTTTTGGTGTAAGCAAACTACTAAGTAGCTTAGTAGTTACGAAACTGCAGGGTCAGTGCTTTTCTGTGCCAGTTAGTACTTGTTTGTCTGGAGTTAAGAAACTTACCCCAGATGATCTTGTAGCTGCTACGTGGGATATTTAGAAAATCCTGGATGTTTTCCTTTTCTAATCCATATCCCAGGTTTGAACGACATACAGGTAAGTACTCTGATCACTCAGGCAACCTGAGATGGAATGAATAGTTTCTCTGCATGGCTGCAACCAGGAATCCTACTTTGAAAGGGAGAGAACTTTTCTGTTAAGTTTTAATTGAAGTACAGCTTCTGGGAGCGGTGGAAAAGTTAGTTTTGGGTGGTAGTGTTTTCAATGAAAAAACAGTCAGCTGTTATTACCAGTCCTCTAGCCCTGCTAAGGAGAGTCTTGATTAATAATGTGGTAAGCAGAATGAACATAAAACTAGAAACTAATCCTTTTATAATTGTGGCTCTGGCCTGTTTTGTTCTCTGATGCTTTGAGGAGGGAGAGCTTAAGAAATTTGGTTTGGTATTTTGCCTATAAAAATACATTCATACTACATATATATGTGGCTTTTTCATAGTGAACATGAGTGTCAGATTTTTTTGTAACTGGTTCCTTTTGTAGTATTGGCAGGATATCAGGCAGCCATCAAAAATGCCCCATTAGTTCACTAGATATTACGTGGTTTTTCCAAGTATTGATCTAATGTTGTTAGAGAAAAATAACAAGCCTTATCTTTCTAAGAAATTTATAGTGGCTTCTCATGCATTAAATACAATTTTCTTTGAAAGCCTATTTACAGAAAATGTGTTGGCACATCCCTGCATTGTTCTACGTCGTCAGTGTCAGGTATGTCTTTTATGTTACCTCTTCCAGTCAGAGCTCCTGTGTACTGTGGTATACTCCTTATACTGCATACTTTCATACAGTTATGAAAATAGAGAAATAAGCATCACAATTTTTAGGGAGACACTGCTACATTAACTTGTTTTTATTTGTAGAATAGTTGTTTTCCATTCTGAGATTTAACTCATCTTGGAAATCCTTAATCATTTTTTGGGCAGTGAAAGTGAATTACAGCAAGTGTTTTGCAGTCTACAGAACAACTTCCAGATCCCTCAATTACAAGCAGAATACTTTGTTTAATAGTTTCCAATTTATGCTTCCTTTATTGTTTACATTTTCACTGTACAAATACTTAAAAGTTCTGCCTGTTTCCCTAAATTTCAGTGGGAATTTATTCATATTTTTAGCTGACCTTTACAGAGATAAAGTTCTTACATTGGAAATGCTTTTATTCTTCAGAATTGTACCATCTACAAGTGTGTTACTAAAACTGCTACTACTTGTATTTTTAACAGGTTAATTATCATGCTCGGAATTACCATCTCACTCCATTTACTATTGTCAATATTATGTACTGCATCAATAAGACACAGGTCAGTATTTGGTGACAGGCTGTATCTGAGCAGTGTACGTTGAAATATATAACTCTTTATGTATTTGTTGTTTAAAAATATGACCATTATAAGGGTTTATTATTTGGAGAAATGTTTCAAGAAGATCATTGTAAGTCATTTTTTTAAGAAGTATAGTACTTAGTGGGGACAATTTGTAGATGTTGTAGAAAACAAAAGGTCCCTGAAACTTAATTTTTTTTCATAAGTATTCTAAAAGATGATTAATCTTTATGTGGATAATAATAATATCTAAGCAACTACTTTCAGTGATAATACGGAATTAATTTCCAGTTCTGCATGGGTATGACAATCCTGAAACTCAGATGAGAATTTTTGAATTTCTTATGGATTTTTAATATCTCAAGGTCATTGTTGTCCGTAGGAAGTGGTGTTAAGTTTATAGTACTGAGTATTAACAGTGAGAGAGACACCTCCAAAATTGTTAACAACTCTTTGAAATTACTGAAAAGCAAACGTTTCTTTAGAGTTGAAAAGTGTTTTATCACCTGAATTTGGTGATAAAGTTGAGCAGTAGAATTGTAGCCTTACATGGTATGAATTTGCTGAAATTTTATAATAATTAGTAAGTTTTTTGAGTTTTTTATTGCATATTTCAAAACACAGGGTCCAAGAGCTCTCTGGAAAGGAATGGGCAGCACTTTCATTGTTCAGGGCATAACCCTGGGAACAGAAGGCATCATCAGTGAATTTACACCTTTGCCGAGGTATTGCATGGGATTTTTACTGCTTCACAAATTTATTATCAGTTGTTGACCTGTATTCAAAAATTTAGAAATGTAAGCATGTCTGAAATATGTTACTTCATGAGAACAGTCAGACATTGAATAGGTGTTTCCAAGCACAGTGTGGTTGTCTTGGCAAAGGCAACTTTGTAATTCAGAAATACTAGGAGACTCTTTCTGGGAGCTTTGTATGTTTGGCGTGTCTGCTTACTGGTCTGAGTATAGAAATACTGTAGCAAATAAGTCTTTAGTGTTATTTGACTGTAATAAAAGAATAAATTTCTTGTTGTATTTTGGTTGATATTGTGTGATACTAGCAAGTACCATACCTAAGGTAAAAATTCCAGGTCTCATTAATCTAAGTACAGACAACTTGCACAGCTAAAAAGCCCGCACTGGCATTTTGCTGGACATTTGCACTGTTTGTGGTAGGTGAGAGAACAGAATGGCCTGCATTAGTAAATGAGAAGACATGGTAAATAAGAGCCCATGTGACTGGCAGCTTTGTCTTCTGTCCTTCTTTACCAACAAATACATGTACTTTGTTCAATGTTCTCATAATGAAGGGGCTACAACTAAAAATGGCTGACTTAATTTAAAGAAATATTCACCGTTCTACATCACTGAGTCCATCTGCTGCTCTAGAAGTTTAGTAATATCTTTTAGTTTGATTTGTGATTCTGTCTAATTTATGCTTTACGATAACTCCAGAATTATGGTGAAATATTGTGATGTCTTTCTGCTTTGAGATACAAAACTGATAAAGAATTTTATTTTGAAGGCTTTTTATTTTGTTTTATAATGATTCAGAGCTAACAGTAAGGGCTGACAACTGTAATAATATCTACTATCAGTTTTGTTGCAGATACGTTAAGAGTAAGCAGGTTGTGTGTTTGTTTTATAAAGTAATATAAGTAAAGTAAAGTAGGGTAGTGCAAGACTGAGTTCATCAAAAGTTAGAAAAAGGTGCTTTACTTAAGTTACAGGGAACAAGTGGAAGCCAATAGAATGATGAAGACCTGTCTTGGAAAATATATTGGGAGACAGGCAAGTGGTTGGGTTTATGGTTTAGTTTTGAATGGAGCAGTGAGCTTGAGAATCATATTAGGTTTCGGAAGAGACAAGTGCCTGTTTTGAATGTGTGGACAGAGACCAAGCATTTAAGGGACATGGAAACTAACCTGGTTTTAAAGACAAGAACTGTAGGTAGGCTGAATCGAACTACTCTTATGATGAATACATCCATACTATTAAAAGTAAGTCTTTGCAGGCTCAAAAGCATTAATAAAAGCATTTCCTACTTAAATTGGGTGGTGTGTGTATTTAAGGTTTTTGGTCAGCTCTGTCTCATATGTAACTGAAATTCCCAGGCATACACTTTTCCTCCGAATGTGGCTCGTTCTAGTTTTTAAATACAGCTGTAGGGTATGCTTAAGTTCACAAGATGCGATAGGTTGTTTATATTTTCATAGTTCTGATTTCTGCTAAATGAGAGTAGCAATTTTCTTCTTGTGGGCCAGTTGTTCAGCAGTTGGTGGTGCTGCCAAAATAAGCAAATCTTTCTTCTGGAACCAGCTGATTCCTTCCTCAGTGCTACTCCCATCTTTGTGCCAACACAGTATGTGAACAGTCAGGAAATGAACTGCACTGGGGAAGTGATCTGGCTAAAATGGTTGTCTCCTTCATGCACCACCCCACCCTAATTTTCTACTGAGTGTTCTCTCTTCCTTTTTAGTGGTGGCATATTTGGGCTGTCATGTGGAGGTAAAGGTTATTGCTTACAGCAGCAGTGCCAGCAAATCTGATTTAAAAGGTTATTTAACCACATTATCAGGATCCAAAGGACACAGGGAAGTAAAATGTCAATTCCAATTCTATATCATGGTATCATAAAAGAATACCCCTGTTTTAGGAGAGGGGTGCAGAAATGGATGTGAATGCGATTCTGTACTAGACAAACTCATTCTGTAATTGTTCTTCCACTGCAGCAACAGTTGTACTGAGTGGATTGACAGGTTAAGCTTAGTTTGAGTGGTTTAATTTTCCACATCATTTAAGTATTATGGGTCAGTGGATATGATCCAAGTGTCTGAAATATATAATGGCAAAGATAATCTTCTGTTACTATGTTTAGGAAAGTGATAGGTACTGTAGCACAAAATTCTTGAGAAAGAGTAAAGAGTTGTTATGACTGCAGGCAATGGCTAAGTGCAATTCCTGGACAAGAATGGAAGATGAACACTTTATACCTTGTTATTAAAAATACCAAGTCTAGTGTACCCAACACTTGAGACAAAAGTATCTTTACCTCATAGCTGGACTATTTACCATATGCATGGTAAGTACATGTGGTATTTGAGTTTTCTTGAGCTAGGTGGGTTTACATTTTCTGTCAAGTGGAATAGAAACATTTGCTGTTCATATTTTGAAGTATGTAAAGATACTACTTTAAGGGAATGGTTTTCATGCCACCTTTGTGTTAGGTTTTATTTAATCAGGATATGCTATAAACTGGTCATAAGTCAAAAAGCTCGAGTTACATCTGTACAGAATTACTATGCAGCTTCTAGCTTGATCTTTTGTTCTTGTCTAGCTGTGTCAGAATGTGATTTAAGTTTTCAGGAAAAAAACAACAGGGTAAATATAACCTCAAAGAACAGAAAGGCATAGCCAAACCAAAACATAATAAAAATTGTATGCTGATAAAGGAAAAGTATTGAGATTTTAAAATCCAGTATTCCCTGAAATTGCTTTAAGAGATAGTGTAAAAGAATGCAAAATAAATGCCAAAGACTAAAACCAGTTGCTGTGAGAGCTACATACACCTTATTAATTAATAGCTGAAACCTTTTTTGATCAAATGTCTGAAGGCCTGAATAACTTCTGGAAGTTAAGCATGATTTATTAAATGTTTTGCTCTGTCTTTCCAATATGAGAAATCCTGCAACATAAACCAATAGGAGAACGCCGGTATGAGAACTGGATATTGACACCCATGGGAGAAATGCTTGAGAATTTTATATGTTCTTATTCATATTGTGGTAAATACGTTTCTTTTTAGGGAGCTTTCACATAAATGGAACTTCAAGCAGATAGGTGGACATCTTTTACTCAAAGGGTAAGTATAGCAGGTGTTACTACCTTATGTCTAATTATCTAAACATTTATAAAACTACTAAACGTATATTAGTTTAGTCTGCAGCTATGGTTACTTGACAGGGTGCTTATGTAATTTTCAGATTGATTTTTTGAACAATCTAGATTGCATACACCGCAAACCACCACAAACTGGACTGATTTAAAAGATTAGATTCTTCTAATCTTTCTAATTAGAACTGAATCAGTCTGATCACATGGAAATAGAATTTAGCAGAACTTCTGACTGAAGTTTTTCTCAACTTATTGATGTGTGTTTTAGTAATTGAGTAATTAAGTCATGTTTTGTTAACTTTCTCTTAGGAATAATTTGGTTGCTAATTTTATCAACTTTCTTGTGCCTGTTTGGCTGAAATTAGAGTAATTGTCATGACCTTAATTGTTACCTTGTTGATTTCTACAGTTTAACGCATGTGATAGCAATGCCTTTTTATTCTGCGAGCCTGATTGAAACTGTACAGGTAATTTACATATATTTACAACAATTAACAAGTTCCTGTTATTCTGTTTATAGATCAGATTATGCAGAGAAGTAAATCTTTGGCTTTGAATTCAAGTTTGTTGCAGTAATTGCATTTGTTTTGCTTGAGGCTGTTATGACTTATTAACTGAGATAAAAAATGTTTACTGTGAATGTTTATCTTAACTCTCAATCTAGGGTAATTCTGCCAGAGTTCTCTGTATAATGAGTTGCACTTAACTAACATGCTAGTATCTTTTGTGCAGCCGGTGGAACTCTCTCTGTAAAGTGAGCTCTCGTGCAGACGGTACAGGACAGTCACTGTTGTGTCATTCAGTCATCAAAATAATTTTCATTCATGACATGAACAAGTTGTAAGTACTGTCGAGACTGTTTGCTAGGGTGTGTCTCCAAAGTGGTGCTTTTTCTGTGGAGAAGGCTGACTTCTACAGTTTCTTAGTTTCAGCATGTACTTTACAGGCCTGAACTCTTAAGGGGCAGGATTCTGCTTTGTGCAGAAGATCCAAGCTTAAATTAGCCAGAAGGTACTAGGAGAGCTTTTCTGTCTGAATTGGCTACATTATGGATTAACAGACAGGTGAGATTAAATATCTGTGCAGAGAGAGGCAAAGAGAGACTCCCAGCAACAAACTTGCTTTCTCTAAAGTTACTCTGTATTTAGGAAACCCTGTCTCCTCTTGAATTATTTTAAAAATACAGCCTGAGGGGATCTGTGCATTTGTGGAAGATTTGGGATACGTAGCTGGTGTCATAATGGAAAGCTGTTGGAACTCAGACTGCCTTTATTACTGGGGAATGGCTCTACCCTGAACATGCCATAATTCTGGAACTAGAAACAGTGGCAGAACACTGTCAATGTCCCTTGAGTTCATAGCAGGCCACAGAATGGAATGTTATATTTGTGTATCTTACTGCTTGTATTTTTGTTGGAAAGGATGTTGTTGCAAAGTGAGTGTAAAGTTTCTTTGCTAGAAAGCAGCTTAGTAGGAAAACAATCAAAAAGCCAAACCAGCATCTCTTCCAGCCTTTTAGATTGGTGATCATCTCTGTAAAGAGAGCATTTGTGGAGATTTTGTTTGAGCTGTAATAATTAGTGGAGGGGAGCAACTTGGCTGGCCAGTTTTACATTATATCCCTGTACTGCATGAGGACAATGACCAGTAACAAACCGGAAAAGTTGTAAAGATTGTGGGATTTGCTACTAACAGGTTTATATTGACTTTGTCTTAATTCTGATAAGCCATACTGTTCAACAGTATTTGACACTTTTCCAAGTAAATACATTTTATCAAAATAGCTGTAAATGGTAGACATTCGGGGCTGCTACATTACTGCTTTTGTCATTAACACCTCAAACCTCATGGTGGCGTTATTTGACTAAAGCAAGAACGGTTTTGAAGTGCAATGACCAGCAATATCGGGAAGAAAAGGAGTCAGGAGAGGTTGTGATGCTTAATTTGTATTTAGAGTCTGAAACAACGGTTTTTTAATTGGTTTTTCTCTTGTGCATTAGTGACCATGAAGGCTTTGCAGGCTGTTTAGTCCTTCCTCAGAATTCTGAGGAATATTCTGGTGGTCTGTCCCAGCATGAGGTCAGGACACAGCCCACATGGACTCAGGAGAGCACCCAAATCTTGAATTTCAGATGTAAACCACATGATAAAATACTGGAGTTTGTATAAGCATTGGAAGGAGAAACAATGCTTATAGGTTAATCCTACGCTCATAGAGGGAATGTAACAGAGTAAATAACTATGGATTTTTAGTTCAGCTACATGAACAGGATAATTATCTCTTTACTAACAGACAGCATGGGTAAAGAATACTGTTTTCAATGCATATAATGCAATGGAAACATGGAAATCTGAGCCTATAAATTCATATTGAAAATGATCTTTCAACTCTAGTTATAGAAGTCTTTACTATGTACAGTCAAGTTCAGAGATTATAGTCATAGTCCTCAAAGTAAAGGAATTTTGAATTAGATAAATACTTTCTTGCATTTTTCTCCAGAAGTAGACATTCTAAGTTCATGACCTTTTTGCAGACTTATGCTTTCAACGGTCAACTGAAGGTTGAGTTTCTTTGATAGAAACACAACTGCAGTATACATTAAAAAAAAACCTCTTCAAGATGGGTTCATTTTTTAAAGAATGAAGTAAATGAATGCTCTCAAGAGTGTTATACAGAGTGTTTTTATTTATACAGCTGTGTGGACATGTGGCATGCAAATGTTTAACTGTTTTTTTTTAAAAAGTTCATCAGTGATGAAGTGTCAGTGGATGTCAGGATGGTTCTGAAGTGGTCAGCACAAGTTGTAACTACTTCTTTATGCTTGTAGAGTGAAATAATTCGAGATAATCCTGGCATCCTGGACTGCGTGAAGGAAGGAATTGGCAGAGTTGTAGGCCTGGGAGTGCCCCATAGCAAGCGCCTCCTCCCTCTGATGGTCCTGACTTTCCCAACTGCTGTACATGGAGTTCTTCACTACGTCATTAGTTCCATCGTCCAGAAGCTTGTTTTGTTTGTTCTGAAAAGGGGTAATTCCCACAACCTTCCAACTGAGAGCTCCACTTCTGTGCAAAGCATGCTGGATGCGTATTTCCCAGAACTGATTGCTAGCTTTGCTGCCAGCCTTTGTGCTGATGTCATGCTCTACCCACTGGAAACAGTTTTACACCGCCTTCATATTCAAGGGACACGCACAATAATTGACAATACAGACCTTGGCTATGAAGTGCTTCCAATCAATACTCAGTATGAGGGAATGAAAGACTGCATAAATACTATAAAACGGGAAGAAGGAATGCAAGGTTTTTATAAAGGATTTGGAGCAGTTATAGTACAGTATACCTTGCATGTGGCAGTTTTACAGCTTACCAAAATTATTTACTCAACAGTGCTTCAAAACGTTTCTTAATCTGCCCGGGTCTGGATCTAGCAAAGTGGTCATGATTGACTTGCTAGCCTAGTTGTTTAAAATGGCTTAGAAAAAGAACTTTGAAGAATCCACTCAATGGATTCTCCTTACACTGTAAAACAACTTGTTTTAAAAATGGGGATATAGTTTCCGAAGTGTAATTAAAAAAGTACTGTTTAAAAGTGATAGACAGAAATTGAGTACATCATATGCAGTCATAAAAGGGGATCAGATTTCAAATGTGATTGCAGTGAGAATTTATCTTTCACCAGTTCACTGACTGATATGGATATGAGTTGTTAATATCTGCTTTGTAAGCATCACATCTGATATTTAATATGGACTGTTAGCCAGTTCAAAGGAATTTATTTTCTTAAGTTGTAAGAACTTCCAAGTGGAGGACTGATGGCTTTACTTGTCTTTTAAAAATGTTTCCAACGTCACTATTAATGGAACTGCGAGTTAAATAGAAACTGTAAAAGTAATTTAAGTAGACTTAAATGTCATAATTTACAGGTACATAGACTACTTATTTTGCTGCAGCATGGCAGAAGATGACTAAGGGAATCTTTTGCTTTTTATGAAAACAATGAAAAATGGATTTTGGGCAAAGTTGCACCGAATGCAAATTTGACTGTCTTGCAGTTTGTTTGCAAGGCTTACAATAACTAAGGTGTGTGAATAAAGCAAATTGGAAACTGATGTGTGCATGTGTAAGTGCCATTTGTAGTTGACTTTCCACTGATAACTTCAGGGTTTAGTTTCACTGCTACTTCATATGAAAGTAAAATAATCTTACAAATGCATATAGCAGTAGTGGTGTTCAAACTGTACAGAAAGCTTAAAAAAACAATTGGCTTTTCCTAGAGTTTCTCTTCCGTTAGATCAGAGTTCTGTGTAAAATCATCTGTTTACTATTTAGCACTGATGTCCTTCATTTAAAGTCTCTGCTAGATTAAATATTTTGCGGAGCAGAGTTGAGTCTGTTTATGTGCAAGTGAACCACTGAAATGTATAATTTTTGCCCTCTTCCCCTTCAGACTCAGCCTGAAAATGATTTCTGATCATTCTAAATGACTCAGTCCTTGGTTTCATCACTAAATATCAGGGGGAGGAGGGAGAGAGATGGTTTTCAGCAAATAAAACTAGCATGTGGAAAGTCACATTTAAATTATATGAGAGACTGTTGCTTTTTTCACATTCATGTGGCAAGTCTGTTTTTGTGAATGCTGTAAATTGATCTGCATTTTAATCATAAATCATTGTGTAGTTATCACTTATGGAAAGTAGTCATGGCAAAATAATGCAAAGATATTGCTGTTCATAAATTCTGACTTTAAATCAGGTCTACTTTATTATTAATCTAACTTTCATGTATTTTAAATGCATAAGTGTTGAAATGGAAAGTATAGTGAACTCGGAAACTGGTTTATTTTGAAATATTGCAAATTTAGTGTATAGCGTATGAAATAAAATGAGAATTCATTGTATTATAAAGTAATTCACCACAGAGGTGAATCAGGATTCCTGATTTGTGTGTTATGTTTTACTGTATAGACTTCAAAGTGGCTTTTTCAAGTTCCTTAACTTTCCTAAGTGCAAGAATATGTTGAATTAAACTACATACAAGAGCTTGGGTAAAATATTCAATTCCTGGGTTGGTTTCTTTTAAAGTTTCTATGAATATCAAGAAAGCCACATCAGAAAATCATCCAGACTGGAGGGGACCTCAGCAAGTCATCTAGTCCAAATTCCTGCTCTAAGCAGGGACAACATTGACTTCAGTCCAGATTGTGCAGGCCCTTGTCCAGTCAAGTTTTAAAATCCAACTTTTAATACATAAAACTGGCTTTTTCAAAGGTGTTCAATTCAACTGAAGCTAACTATTCCATCACAGATGCCTTGAGGAAATAACTAAGTGCATGTTGGAGACCAGCACTTGGCAGATGTATCTGTGAAGTTGAGCGATAATGCTTTTATAGGAATAAAATTTTAGGGCATTTTGCCATATGAATTGGAGGATGCCTTTGTATATTCTACAAGAGGGAAGATGAGTTCTCAGAATAGCACTGGATACTGTGCTATAATACTGTGTCAAACACTCATTTTCATTGCTGGGAGTTTTACAGTTCTACTCTATAGAATCAGATCTGTAACTTTAGCAGGGTGAGAAAGAACACTGTCAGTGTAGAGTAGCTGTTCCATGTTGGAAAAAACATTTGCTTTGGGCTATTCATTTTTGGTCCTCTTCCCATCAGTTAGAATGAACATGTTTAGATTCTTCATATATACTTTTTTTATCTTCCAAAAGAAGTAATACTCTTTGTCCAGAGTTGCTATTTTTTTGCCCATGCAAAAATGTCAGTCAATGTGGGCTGAAAAAATATTTTTAACCTTTTTAATCATAAGAGTGCTGTTAATGTGTTTCTGGTTTTCATGTGGATCATAAGTCTAAGTACTCCGTTTTTAGCTCCCAAGTGATCAATAGGTGGCTTTAGCAAGATGTACCACTGAAAATTACAAAATACAGAATTACTGTAGAAAGTAGGTTGCTCTGGAGTATGAAAAATTCTTATGTACTCTCTTCTTGCAGATACAAACAACTACTTTTTTGTACCTTGTTTTTCTTTCTACTTTTTTTTTTTTAATCTGTAAAGAAGACAGCTGATTTCAGGAAGGTAAATGTTAGTGAAGAAAGACAGACTCTTCAATATTTCCCTCCAGTGAGGAATTACTTTGCTTCTTATCCACGTTTCTTAAAATGAAAACCTTCATGTCCGTAACTGGCAACAGACCAGGCAGGAAACTGAGCTATAAGGCCTGCTGGAAACAGGCAATTATCTGCCTGTGTTGTTTCATGCACTGCATTAGAGGTCACACTTGGCTTTTAGTTGTGTTAGAACAGTGCTTTTAGATCTAGTGTTGGCGCCAGTGCTCTTTTTCTTCAGCAACGTTCCACCTATGTTCATTCTTTTTAGCAGATACAGTTTGGGGCACACGAGTGGATCTAGGTCTGGGTTCTGTCTGCCATAATGTGACAGACGTGCGGTGGGTTTTACAGATTTATGCAGAATTTGTAAGACTCATAATTACATGCTTTTATTAGGTCCTCTGAATTTAGCTGCAAGTTCAAAGCAAGTATATGTGAGATATTCCTCTGATATGGTCATTCAGTGGATATATGCCTGCAGCTACAAACAAAGAGCAGAATCATAGAATATCTTGAGTTGGAAGGTACCCAGCCCAAGAGTCATCAAAGTCCAACTCCTAACGATGCACAGGACAGCCCCAAAAATCACACCATGTGCCCGAGAGTATTGTCCAAACACTTCTTGAACTCTGTCAGGCTTGATGGTGTGACTGCTTCCCTGGGCAGCCTGTTTCAGTGCCCAGCATAAACCTCCCTTGACACAGCTCCATGCCATTCCCTTACATCCTGTCACTGGTCACAAGAGACAAGAGATCAGTGTCTGCCCTTCTGCTGCCTCTCATGAGGAAGTTGTAGACTGCATTGAGGTTTCCCCTCGGTCTCCTCCAGGCTGAACAGGCCAATTGCCTTCAGCTGCTCCTCATATGGCTTACCCTCAAGGCCCTTTGCTGTTTCTGTTGTCCTCCTTTGGACACTGTCCAGTAGCTTAATGTCTTTTTATATTGTGGAGCCCAAACCTGCACACGGGAGTGAGACAATCCCCTCCCTTGACCAGCTGGCGATGCTTTGCCTGCTGTCCCCTAGGACATGGTTGGCCCTCCTGGCTGCCAGGGCACTGCTGACTCATATTCAACTTGCCATTGACTGTAGTGTCACGTGTGACGCTGCCTTTATATGATAAAGAATAACTACACACTCTCCGGAGCTGGTGGAATCAGAGAGCCCATTCGAATTCCGCGCTCACTTTTATATCCCATAACCATGTGATCCCTTTACCCAGTGGGGGTTGTGAACCTCGGCGCATGCTCTTTGGGCCTCTCTGCCCCGGTACATCCCCCTGTACCTCAGACACGCCCCTGTACCTACATCACCCCCCTCTTAATTATTTAAGAGGATCACAAAAACAGTGCAAAACAACAGTGCATACAAACAGAACAGTACTTGTAAACTACCAAAGCTTGCAGTGACCCAGCACACTGCTTGCCTTGGCCTCTTACGCTTCTAATGTAAACCTTTCAAAACCTTCTTATATTCCTAAGGGGTAGTGCAACTTGGAGAAATAACTTTATTAACTTAAAGGCCTTTGCCTAACTGTGCAAACTTATAACCTTTATTAACTTGAGGGTTTTAAATAACTGGGGAGTTCAACTTTATTAAGGAACAGGCTAAGCTTAGCAAAACTAACTTATCTTAAAATGACCCTGTGGCTGAGGTAGTGTATTTGCGAGGTGTTTTGTGTTTTAATATTTGTCCAGTCATGCAGCACATATTCATTCACACATCATTCGCTCGACGGCCGTCTTACACTCATCATACACACATTCATGAATTTTTTATTGAATGCTTTTTGCCACATTGGTCGTTCCTAAGGTAAACCTGAAATGTAAACATAACTCTTTTATAACTTCTGCGTTACTCTGGTTCTTGCCGATGTGAATGTGTACCTAGGTAGGGCCTGACACACCTGGAAGGAATCCATTTTAGCTCTTTCCCTGCACCCACACAGGCATAGCCCCTCCCCCACGTCACAAGATCCAGTGGTCCCGTCCACTGTCCAGAAATCAGATCCCTTACCATGACCGGTGGTTTGGGAGAGGCAGGCTCCTGAGGCCTGTGTTGCTTTTCATACTTATTCTTTTCGGTGCTGTCACAATTTAAAAAATTGATAACATACATTGCTTTCCACAGCCGTTCTTGCGGGCTATCCAGGTTCCCCCCTTTTTTTTGTTTTGCTAGCATCTCTTTCAGTGTGCGGTGTGCCCTTTCAACAATTGCCTGACCGGTTGGTGAGTGTGGGATGCCTGTGACATGTGAGATTCCCCAGTCTGACAGGAAATCTCTTACCTTTTCTGAGATGTATGCTGGTCCGTTGTCAGTTTTTATTTGTTTTGGGGTACCAAGGGTTGCAAAACAACTGAGCCAGTGTCTTATCACATCCTTGGCCTTTTCCCCTGTGTATGCTGTGGCTGTTATATACTGCGAATGTGTATCTACTGTTACATGTACATATTTCAGTTTGCCAAATTCGGGGATGTGTGTGATGTCTGTTTGCCAGATCTCATTAGCTTTTAACCCTCTAGGGTTAACGCCTTCCTGAGATGGCACAGGTGTAATTTTTTGACAGTCTGGGCATGACAGGATGATGTCTCGAGCTTGGTTGATTGTTATTTGAAATTGTCTCTTTAGAGAGCGAGCATTCTGATGGAAAAATGAGTGAGACAATTTTGCTTGCTCTAAGACTCTGGGTACGGTGTTAAACATTGCTGCTCTGTCAGCTTCCCTGTTCCCGTCAGCTATGGGTCCTGGCATGTCGGTGTGTGACCTTATGTGCATAATGTAGAAATCAAACCTTCTGTGATTAACAAGAAACCAAATTGAACGCATTTCAAACAACAAGTGTGGGTTAGAAACATGTCGAAGAAACGAACTCTCAAGGCGCGAGACTAAACCTGCAGCATAACAAGAATCAGTAACAACATTAACAGGTTGCTCAGAAAATTTCTCCAGGGCAATACGGATGGCAGCCAGTTCCAGAACCTGTACAGAACCTTGGTTCCTGGTCTGCACCTCCTGTTCCCATTGTCCTGTATCGGGGTTTACCCAAGTCACTGCAGCTTTTCGTGTTCTCCCAGATGCATCTGTGAAGACCGTGAGGCCTTCTACTGGTTCATGTTTGCATCTGGTTGTGGCTTTTAAAGGTAAATTACCTATTTCTGCCCACAATCTGTGTTTAGGGAGATGAATGGAAATATCACCGTCAAAGCCTGACAAGGCAGCTTGGAATCCCATGTCCTCAGCCAGCATCCAATCCAAATTGTCCTTCGTAGCTGGAATGTAGATGGTAGCAGGGTCCCTTCCGTCCAGTTCCTGCAGTCTTGCTCTGCCTTTAATGACAAGCTTTGCAAACATCTCATTAGCAGTCCACACAGTTTTAGGTGGTGTATGGGGCAGAAACAGCCACTCTAGAATTCGCAGTGGGTCTTTTTCAGTCTGATCCCACTGGAACAAAACTGCAAATGGCTGATACCTGCTGGGAACGAGGGCTAGGCAGATTTGCAGTTCAGGATTTCTCCTTCTGCCTTGCCTGTCCTCTATTGCCCTGGCACAAATGTCTAACGCCTGTTTGGCCTCTGCTGTCAGAGCTCTGTTAGACGTTAGATTGGAGTCCCCTTTTAGCAGCTCAAACAAAGGGTGTAGCTCCTCTGTGGTTAAGCCTAAAATAGGCCTTAACCAGTTGATAGCCCCCAGGAGTTTTTGCAACTCGTGTAAAGTTAAAGTGTTTTTTACCTCGAGCTGCAGTGGCTGTGGGGAGATTTCCTGCTGCGTGATCCTCCATCCAAGGTATGTCCAGGGCTGCGATCGCTGGATCTTTTCTGGCGCGACCTGTAACCCTGCTTCTTGGACAGCATCTTTTAGAGCAGTAACAACAGTTTCCAGTTCATTTTCTGTGGCTGTGGTAATTAAAATATCATCTATGTAGTGATAGATGATGGCAGAGGGA